TTTTTTTTTTTTTTTTTTTTTTTTTTGGGAATGAAAAAGCACATTTATAGTGCAACATGAAATATTTTGCAAGGACGTAGAAAAAAAACCAGCCCAACAAGAGGAGTACAGATTCCACTAACTAAGAAGCTCACTCCAATCCAAAAGGATAAGACCTAACTGATGGTTATAAAAAACCATAGAAATCGATGCCCATAAAGAGGTATTAAATCTAATAATATCCCAAACCTCATTGGCAGATCTCTCTACCCCTAAAAATCTCATTGTTCCTCTTAAGCTAGAAACCCCATTAAAAAACAAATATACACGCCTGCCAAAGGACTCAGCCTCTTATCTCAGAAAGGGGGGGGTCTGAAGAGTCATCATAGAACAACAAACTCTATTCGAGCCAAGCATACCCTAAAAGAGGCCCAACAACAATCTCAAATGACTTGAGGAAACTGACAGCCCCACAAAATGTGGCCAAAATCCTCTGATGCTCACCTACACGACGCACATCATTGCGAACCAAGGAAAAAAATAAAATAAAAGAGAAAGCAAAGGCTCCAAGGAAGGAGGGCGAAGGGACACATAATAAGTGAAAAAAAGAATTAGATGAAAAAGTATGCTTGAGGATTGGTGGTCCAAAGATACATGTCCCTCCTCATACTCACATGAACATCACCTAGAAGCAAAAGAAGAGACATCAAGACGACATACGTCCAAAGAAAGAAGAAATAGAGTTACTCCACAATCGAACTTAATTAAGGTTTGATTGAATGGCTCAAATGCAATCTACCACAAGAATTACTTGAAATCTTAGAAATGACAAAGATGATGCTCAAATTTCTAATAGTAAAAGTATCAACTTGAGAGCTCAATTCCATACATCCAAAGTCTGATATTTATAGCTTCTCCACACAAGAAACCTCCAACCCTTCAAATGTCCACTAAAAGAAGTTAGGACCATGATTGACGTACCTTCCCACTACCTTTCAAATGTCCACTACAAGAAATGTGAGTATGAGGAGGGACATGTATCTTCATTCCCCCCCTCTCCAACTGTGATTGGCAAAGATCCATGTTCAAATGTCCACTACAAGAAATGTGAGTATGAGGAGGGACATGTATTTTCATTCCCCTCTCCAACTGTGATTGGCAAAGATACATGTCTCTCCTCCTTATAAGGGAGAGGTTTCCACGTCCTTATAAGGTAGAGGTTTCCACATCCTTATAAGGAATGCTTCGTTCTCCTCTCCAAACGATGTGGGATCTCACACCCATGTTCCACTTCAACCTTGCAAATGTTGACTTCCAAATCTCTAAAAGGTCCTTCCTCACTTGAGTCAGCTTGTAACACATAAAATAAAGGTTGGATCAAGCCTATCAAATTTTTTGAATGAAGAATGAATGCTTATTGAATCTTGGCCTTGGATCGTGTAATAAGTCCAGTTGGAACATTTGGAACACCACAATCCTTATCATGAACCCTCTATCCTGTTTTTTCATCTATAGGTGCTGCCATAGGTTTTCAATATCGCTGATTGTAGTTGGATTCTATTGCAGCAAAGCACAACATGAATAAGGTATTTGACTTTATCTCAATCTACCACTTAACTAAGATTTATAACAATAAAAAGCCAAACATATGACAATAAACAACCCAAAATCCCAAAATAAAGCATCACTCAACTGGCACACGCAAAAGAAAATGAAAGTTAACATTGTAAACAACAATATACCTCCCACAGCTTGTTGTAGGCATCCTCATAAAAGCGTAAAGCTTCAATCCAGTCACTTAGGAACTCTGCATAAACGGCAGCCTAGCACAGGATGGCATAAAGACGAATCAAGACCAATCGAACAACTCCAGAACAAACAACATATGCAAGCATAGAATTTCTGTATACAGTGTAATACGAAGAATTGTGGTACTGTTACCTACTTGTGGGGATTTTTTTGCCAAGCTATGCACCTTTCTGATGTTAAAATACATTCTACTAACTAGAGTTGTACTCTTCTATCGTAATTATTTTTTCAAACACGAACTTGATAAAGGCTGAAAGGGTAGATCTTTGAAAAACGTCTATTTTCTAAAAATTGTTAGAGTGCATTATTTATCTTCAAGACCCTCTTCAGATAAGTCTAAGCAATAATGTTGGCAGAGGTGACTGAATAACGTTACCATGGATCAGGACCAGTCAAAATTTCATTCTTAGGTAAAAATCCGTTAAATGGAAGTAAATTGTAGAATATCCTTATGAATCATTTGAGAAGTTTGATTACTGTGTTGTGAGAGAAGAGAACTTACTTTAAAGCAATACCGAATATTCAACTCAGTGTAACTGGAGGTCCTCTTTTCAATTCGTGTTTTCAGCTTCCTTCCTTCATCTTTATAGTATACATTTGCTAGCTCTGAGAAGGAGTTCCGTAGCCTGCGCAAGGGCGTTACAAATAATATTCACGAAGTTGCTGCTTTTCAAGTTGGTAACAAACAAGTGCACGTGCGTTGCAAAAACATGGAGGAAATGCAAGAAAAGGGAAATGCCTGTGAAGGGATTGCGATAAATCCGAAGCATCATTAGGCTTAACAAAGATGACATATTTCGTGTCCACTTCAGCACGTTTGCGCAGAGCAATCATTCGATCCTCGTTGATATCATCTGCATTGAAAACCTTAAATGTATATATAATTACAAAAAATGAACAATCAGCCGTGGACAATGTGTTTACCTTTGGAATCAGAATGGACAATAATGACAACTAACTTGATGTTCCTCGAACGAGTCACAGCTCTGGAAATCGAATCAAATTGATTTCAGATTAAATTGGTAGTTCAATTAACAAAGAACAGTGCAAAGTAAAAAGGAAGTACTTGAGGTGATCGAGATCGGAGCAGAGCTGAAGCCACTGGGCAGGATCGCCAGAAACATGAAGAGAGGGGAAAAGAGCAGCAACAACAGCAGGAACCTTGGTCCGACGCTTAAGAAGCCAATCCCTCTTGAGAATACCGGGAGGAGGAGTGGAAAGAGAAGGTTCAGAGGATTCCTTGGAGGAAGGAAGAGGGAGGAGAAAGGAGATATTGGAGAGGTCGGGGAACGCAAGGGTGTGGATCGGAGGCTGCTCGGAAAGGAGGTGGTTGGAGATGGTGGGGTGAAGGTCGGGGCATCCAACGAGCGATATTAGCCTCACAGGCGGCGTTCGAAGCTCTTCTGGGTAATTCTGCATTCTTCTTCTTCTTCTTCCTCTTCAATGGATTCCTTCGACAGTGGTTGTAGGGAGAAGAATCAAGAGGAGAATGGCGGATCTGCAGTGTTGCAGGATTGTGATGGAATCAACAAGAACTCACGACTGAAGGGTGAAATTGGCGACGGTCAGATGTAAATTCTAAATTGTAAATTATAATTGAACTCAAAAAATTAAAAAAAATATATATATATTGTAATTAGGTGCAAATTCATTTTTTGAGGTTTTATTTTATTTGTGCTCATGAATTTTGTTAAAAATAAAAAATAAAATAAAATATTTTTTTTTTTACTACCATATACCTCTTATTATTTAATTTCAATAATTATGAAATAATATTTTATTTTTTTAACCATATAAACATTGTCTTTTAAGAGGGTAATTAATATCATATTAAAGCTATTTTAAAATTAACAAATCTTACAAAATCAAGTAATTGATACAGTTGTTTCTTCTAAAAAAAATTAATTATTATAATTATAAAAAAAAAAAAAACTGAAAGACTTTGACTAATTGTGAGGTTTATTTTTTATTTTTAAGATTTTTTCATAGAGAATTATTTTTAATATAAATAATATTAGCTAAATTAATAAATATCTAAAAAATATTCTTACCCTTAAAAAAATATCTAAAAAATACATTATGGGAAGTGGTAAACATATTCATCAAGGATGAGAGAAGGATTGATGGGGTTTAGGTTTTGAATTACTGAAGAAGTAATCAAAATTTACAGTTTACTGTTTTCAGAAGTAATTTCTTGCAGGTAATGTTCTGCATCCAAAGCAGCCATGCATCCTGCATTATTATTTCAACAGAATCAGCCACAATATGAGAACTGAACAGAATTACCCTGAAAACACTAAATTAAACAAAGTTTGGTTCCATTTGAATCGAAGGATAACAGACTGAATCAATATCATTAAACACAGAAAGCAAGAACCCGATGAAATATTGTCAGATCCATAAACTAGTACATGGTAGCTGAACTTCCGTAGAAATTTGGCTAAGCCCAAGCTCACTACTAATAGATATTGTCGGTTTTCACTTTTGGGCTTCCTTCGCATACTAGGGAGAGGTTTCCACACCCTTATGAGGAATGTTTCGTTCCTCTTCCCAACCGATGTGAGATCTCACAATCCACCCCCTTGAGGGTCCAACGTCTTCGCTTGCACACCGCCCAATGTCTATCTCTAATAACATTTGTGACAGTCCAAGCCCACCGCTAGCATCGCTTGCACACCGCCCAGTGCATGTCTCTAATAACATTCGTGATAGTCTAAACCCACTGCTAACGGATATTGCCCTCTAGAAGAGGGTGGATCGTGAGATCCTATATATGGAGAGGAGAATGAAAAAACATAAGGGTACGGAAACCTCTTTCTAGTACAATATCTATTGACGGTGAGCTATGTCCTAGAGTGTAGAGATCATTGTAAATTTGTCGCTACAAGAAATTTCGTTCAAGTAATGGCTAGACGGGTCGATACAATCATGTTTCTGTGCAACAAATCTGGCAAAATTCATGGTTTGAGCTATGTCCCTCTAACCCCAAGTCTTTATTATAACACCAAACTTGATTTGAGAAGTTTTGAATATCAAATGCAAGGGGAAATAACAAGGAAGTTGAAAGCACTAACCAGTTCCAGCAGCAGTAATGGCCTGTCTATATCTCTTGTCCTGAACGTCTCCGGCTGCAAAAACTCCACGAACACTGGCTCGAGTTGTCCCCGGCTGCGTCACGACGTAGCCATCGGAATCAAGCTGAAGCTGCCCATCCAAGAACTTGGTTGCCGGTTCATGCCCAATTGCGAAGAACAACCCAGAAACCTTCAAATCGGACAACTCTCCACTAACAATGTTCTTAACTTTCAAACCTCCCAAAACCCCTCTGTCTCCGTCGCTATAGGCCTCAACCACCACAGAATTCCAAAGCACGTCGATCTTAGGGTTGCTGAGTGCCCGCTGCTGCATGATTTTTGATGCCCTAAAAGCGTCCCGTCTATGGATGATGTGCACTTTGCAGCCGTACTTGGTGAGGAAAATCGCTTCCTCCATGGCTGAATCCCCACCTCCGACCACCGCCAATGGCTTATCCCTGAAAATCGGGGCGGCGCCATCGCACACTGCACAAGCCGATATACCGCGATTCCAAAACCCTTCTGGTGCATCGCCGGAGCCTGGGAACGACAAACGCTTAGCAACAGCCCCTGTGGCGACAATTACAGAGTCCGCGAGTACGGCTTTTGAATCGGTGAAAATCTTGAAAGGATTCGTGGAGAAATCGACTTTGTTAACCGTCTCGGTGAAAATCTGTGTTCCGAAACGGAGAGATTGATTCCGACATCGGTCCATGAGATCCATTCCGAGTACGCCGTTTGAGAATCCGGGAAAATTCTCCACTTCGGTGGTGGTTGTGAGCTGGCCGCCTGGCGCAATGTCGTTGGCCATCCATCCTTCAAAGAGAATCGGCTTGAGCTCCGCCCGGGCGGCGTATATGGCGGCGGTGTGGGCAGCCGGGCCACTACCGATGATGCAAAGCTTGGTCCTGAGATTCTGAAGATGGAGATCGTCCATGGCGGCGATTTTGGAACCGGAACTCGCAATACTAGAAGAAAAAAACGCCGCCGCAACGGTGGTGGACGCTACGCCGATTAAATTCCGGGCTCTTCTGAGAAACCCAAATGTCATTATGCTCTTCTTCTTCTTCTTCTCCACTCTTTTCTACCTATCAATCACACAAGAGTTTATTCGTTTCCCCAGCAGAGCTCTGTTGTCTGAAGCACATTGCAGCCTTATAAGCGCGGAAAATTGAAACCTACCTCTATGAACCACAACTCTACATCGAACCAGTGGCTTATAAAAATTAACCCTCTTAATCTTAATCATAATATTTAAGATTGCATAAATGACATTTTTAGAGGGAGAGAGGAAGGAAAGAATATAAAAAGGAGCTTCCTTTCTTAGCTTCTTAACCTCCAACCTGCTGTGGATTAAGACTAAACATTTTTACTACATCCATAGGAGCTCTAAACAGACCATACAAGCATTTTCAGCTCTTCATCATGACAAAAGGCAGCCAAGAATTAGCATCAAGAAAGCTACGACTTGGTTGCAACTTTGAGTAATCAATCAGTATGTGAGATCTCATATCCATTGGAGAGGGGAACAAAATTTTCTTTATAGCTGTGTGGAAATCTCTCGACTTATTTTTGGTTAGAGAGGGGAATGAAGTTTTTTTTTATAAAGGTGTGGAAATTTCTTACTGTCACGCAGTGTTTTAAAACCCTGCAATGAAAATGTCAAAGAGGACAATATAGGTTAACGGTGCACTTGGGATTTTACAAATGGTAGTCCAAAAGTAAAAACGTGAAGAGAACAATATCTACTAACGGCTTTTACAAATGGTAGTCCATAAGGGAAAACCCAAAAGGAACAATATGTGCCGGTGGCTTTTACAAATAGTTGTTTAGAAGGAAAAGTCCAAAAAAGACAATATCCACTGGTGGTGGACTTGGGGTTGTTGCAAATGGTAGTCCAAATGGGAAAGTCCAACAAAGAGCTCACGGGGGACTTGAGTTTTTACAAATAGTAGTCCAAAAGAAAAAACCTGAAGAGAACAATATCTGTTAGGGGCTCTTACAAATGATAGTCCATAAGGGAAAACCCGAAGGGTAGCTGCTTTTACAAAAGTTGTCCAGAAACTTGAAGGGAACAATATCTGCTAGCGGCTTTTACAAATGATAGTCCATAAGGAAAATTCCGAAGGGAACAATATCAACTAGCAACTCTTACAAATAGTTGTACAGAACGAAAAGCCCAAAAAGGACAATATCCACTAGCGAGTGGACTGAATTGTTGCAAATGGTAGTCGGGAAAGCCCAACAAAGAGAAGGCCCAAAGAGGATAATATCTACTTAGGCGGTTACAAATGGCAGGATAGAAAGGAAAGCCTAAAATAGACAATATCTAATGAATTTGTGCTGTTACAAATTATATTAGAGTCATATTAAAGATCTCACAATTGTACTAACCGTGACGGAAGACTGTGATAAATTAAGGGTTTAATTAAGAATTAATAAATAATTGGGTTACTATTATTATTTTTAATGGACAAAATGAAGTTTTAATTTTTATTTGTATTTTATTTTATTTGTAATTATTATTAGTGTCCGACAAAAAATGATTTGGGAGTTCCAAAGCCTTATCTACTCGTCTATTCGTTAAGCTCCCTTCCTATTCTCGTTCTATAGATTCGAGCGAGGAACTCTCGAGTTGTTTCCAGAGATTGATTCAGCTTATTGACGATTTAAGCATGGCGATACATCCCATTGAGCGAATCAAACCAACTACGATGCGGCTGGTATTCGATTAGGAAGAATCAACCACCGATTATCAGTACTGTTTCAAGATTTAACCTCGCCGTAGCTTCTCCGAGCTCATTCGGCTCTGTCGCCTCTCTGGTCGAATCGAACACATTCCGGAAGTGATTCGAAGATTCTGTACAATGAATGCTTCATTTTGTTGTAATCACATTCATCAACACCCACAGTTTCTTAAAATTCAACATGCAAGCTCCTTCGCGAGGGGGAGAAACGCTATTCAATGGCCATCTACGGTTATTCAGACGGCGGAGAGCCAAGTGGCGACTGAGGAAGCTACCTCTCAATCGGAATCTGTTGCTCGTCGCCTTATTCTGCTTCGCCATGCCAGGAGTTCGCGGCAAAAACTTTCAATGCGAGGTGACATTCTCAAATCTATCAGATTATTTGCCTGTCTACATAGCGATGATTAACAATAATTTTCTCTGATGCTCCTTCATTGTGATATTTCATCGTATTCTATTATGGCTCTGTTAAGATCAAATGTCAATTTCTTTTGTTCTCTTTTATCATTGTTCACTAGATCACGATCGCCCCTTGAGTAAAGATGGAAAAGTTGACGCTATTAAAATTGCTCAGAAACTACAAGAATTGAACTGGATCCCTGAACTTATTTTATCCAGGTTAGGTTTATCTTCAACTGATTATACGCTTTCCCGATGTCTTTTTCTCCCCTTCATTCGATTGATCCTGTTAGAACTTAGAATTCCTTGCAGTACATGTTTATAGGTCTGAATACTTAATTCGTTAGGTTTTTCCTATTTCCATTAATCACTTCTCTTCAATTCTTTGTATTAAAGTAGGGTATTCAGGACAAAAATTAGAGAATCTAACTGTCTAGCGTTTGGGTTTCGACTTGCATTTACTGGAGCAGTGATGCCAAGCGGACCAGAGAAACACTTCAGATAATGCAGGAGCAAGTTGTTGGTTTTTCGGAAGCTGAGGTTCATTTCATTCCCAGTTTTTATTCCATTGCAGCCATGGATGGTCAAACTGCGGAGCACCTTCAGCAGGTTATCAGTAATTATTCGAGGAATGACATAATTACTGTCATGTAAGTCTTATTGCCTCTATTTATGAAAAGGTACACATGCATTTCTTTGTTGGGTTAAACAGTTTCACAAGAAATAAAACAAGTACAAAGGACGCATTGGATTGTTGTCAATAACGTCTTTAGTTTTGAGATCATTGTTGTTTATTAGTTACCAGTGGATACCTTTCTAATTGGTAAGGTCATATCAGTGTCACCGAGGTGAAAAATGTTGCTCCCCCACGGCACTTGCGCAACATGTTTCCTATACTTCATTCATGTATTTGTTGTTCTTGTATAAACTATAACAACTCAAGCCCACCGCCAGCAGATATTGTTCACTTTGGCCTGTTACGTATCGCTGTGAGTCTCACAGTTTTAAAATACGTCTATTAGGGATTGATTTCCACATCTTTGTAAGGAATGCTTCGTTTCCCTCTCTAACTAATGTGGGTTCTCATCCTTGCTGGCACATCTTTAGTGATTTCCACATCCTTGCTGGCACACTGCACAGTGTGCAATACTTCATGTTTTAATCTCCTTTCATGTCAGTATTCGTTCCATTTTGGAGAAGATCTATTATGAAGGCATATTTTCTCATTCTATGAATGGAATTAAGTATAAGAACCTTCCCACATGATGTTTCTCGTTTTGAATGGACAAAAATTTGCAGCACGGTTTCTTGCAAAGAATTGTGAAATAATAGTTTGATGTGGACCATAACTTAAATAGGGAAATGGTATGACAGAAATTATTTTTATGCAGGTGTATGGGACATAATAAAGGCTGGGAAGAGGCAGCCTCGATGTTTAGTGGCTCCTCCATAAAACTGAAGACATGCAATGCTGCTTTGCTTGAGGCTTCGGGAAAATCATGGGAGGAGGTCAGGCCTTAATCCTTCTGATTGATGTGATTGATTTAACTTTCGAATTTTATGGATGGCTGAGTAAGCATGTATTATAATTGAATATGTACATACAGTACCGTAGGAATATAAGTGATGTTCGTTGTGGTTTCACATTATTTGCCCTCAGTTAAACTTAGAGGAAAATTGACTTTTCTTTTTAAAAACAATTTGGATACCAATACTTCATTTCTATTTCCCGAAAATAAACTTCCTTTGTAGTTTGGGTAGATTTGATCCCACGAAATCTTCGCTGGATTACAGAGCTGTTCATGCAACGTTGCAGAAAATGCACGTCCACGTCTAATACAATAACCAATCTATGCTACTATATTCTCGATTTCAGAATGTATTTTCTTTAGGATCAAACAAAACTGATATAATCTGAGACATATTTCTTCAAATGCTGGAAGTTAAGCAGCTCCTGCCCAACATGGAGGGTCGGGGTTTTAAAATGGAGGTCAATTTTCAAATCCGTTGTCCTACCACCATTAGTCAATGTGTGGTAGGATGTTGAGCATCCGAACCTTTCCGAACCTTCCAAAAGTGAGGGGTATGTTTTGTTTCTTGGCACTCTCTTTCTTTGAAAAGATTGATTCAAAAGAGTCCCGAATCATTTACTCCAATAATGACCGGTTTGCGGTGTCTGGTTCATCCTTTCTAGGCCTTTTGACTATTAAAGATTAATTAACCATTTAGCCAAAGATGCACATCCTATTGTAAGCAATGCTAGAGAGTCTTTATAGGTGAGATAAGAACCCTGCTTTCCTTCCTAGGGGAATTTCTTTACATGATATGATTCTAACTGTTTGTGGCATAGCGCCGTATTAGATTAGAGCATAACGCCGTATTAGATTAGAGCATAACATCCAGTTGAACTGGGCGATTGTCATGGAGTTAAGTGTCATGGTGAAAGGATGTGATCACTAATTGCTGCAGGAGCTTTAGATAGCTTTTGCGTAAGGATCACAATGTTCTGGAGCCTGGTTATAAATGTTGAGCCTGTTCTTCAAGGTTTATGATACTCACATTTTCTCTTTTCTTTTCGGATCAAGAGTCAGGCTCGCATGGTATATACTATTCTGTGGAACAAAATATGTTCATATTGTTATTAGTATATGCATGCTTTCACTATAATGCCAAGTAGCTTTTGAATAACTCTTTCTCCTACTGATCCTTACCCATTGTAATCTATTCAGGCATTTGCTTTGGCGGGACTAGGTGGGTGGAAGCTTCACGGCATAGTACAACCAAATATTAGATCATAGAACATTTTTAAGTTTTCTTGATTAGTCTAGCAACCACTCTGCTGTACCCAAATTCACCCTATGAATGCTCATACATCTATATAATCTTTCTCCAGGGTGTTTACAAACATTTCGATTTCGACTGTTGGCCTTGTGCATGTTTTCACTGAACCCCTTTTTCCCGTTGGAGACTCGGAATTAGTAACCATTTTCGTTGTGGGGTTTCTTTACGATTAAGTATAATAGAGTCAAATGATTGTTCTACCAGAATATTTGAGATATGTTCGGGTTCACACACTTGTGAAGTGTATATTAGTG